ACTATTATAAAGTTTAAACTTGTATAAAAAAAAAAAAAAAAAAAAAAAAAAAAAAAAACATTTTAGAACACCTGCAGAAGAATAATAGTCAGAAGTTTTATGATGCAATAAATTTGTAGCAGAGCTACACAAAAGTGAGAGTCTATTGTAACCTTTAAGTGAAAAGCAAATGCAATGCTGCTGTTTACCTTTTCAAATGTTTAATTCTCTTATAATTATGTAAGTTTTTTTTTTATTCAATTTTGTTACTTCAAACTTTAAAAAGAGCAGCTATCTTAAAGTAACTATACTATTTGAGTTATTATTATTATTCCCCTATAGTGATAGGGGGATGTATAATAAAAAATCATTATTCATGCTAGCATAGGTAACTCCATTGGATCGCTAAAAAAAGAGCATAGCATGATTAAAAAGACGCCAAAGTCGATGAAAACAAAATTTTCGCGTCTAAATGCTTATGTTACTTTTTAGAGGAAAGATCAAAGTATTTTTTACTTATTTTTTGAAATTTTTCCTTCTTTTTTAGAACATTGTAAATTTTGATTAAAAGACCTTGTTTCTCTTTTTATCAGCTTGGCTGATAAATGAACGTATAAACATTTTGGCGCGTTTTTTTCCCCGTTTGACACATTAATTTGGAAAATCTTGCAAAAATGAAAATAATTGTCGGATTTTAATGAAATTTTCAGAAACTATTTACAAATGATGGAACTTATTATAAATACATTTTTTTTTAGTAAAGTCATCGCAGAAATTTTTTTTTTTTTTCATATGTATTTACCCACTCTAACTAATTGTACGAAAACTCTATAATTTCAATTCTTAGGAGTTTAGTGATTATATCAGTTAAAAGCACAATGCTTTGAGGAAACAAAATCATGTTTTTGTTTTTTTTTAGTTGGAGCCCTTCTACCTGAAAATCGTCTCTGAAGTGTAACATACAAAAACTCAATAAAACAAAAATATTATTTAATTTCAAAAGCTTTTAATTGCTTTTATTTATTCCAATAAACATGGACAATATTGTCTGAAAGCAAAAAGATATTTTGATGAAAAATGAATTTTTAAAACAATTACCTACAATTATTTTTTATTTCTGCAACCATTGTTTTTATTTTTACATTATGTTGTTAATTCTTCTAAAATTATGGAAAAGCGTGTACAGCTTAACGGATGTTGTTTTTAAGTAGATATATATTTACAGATTATAATTTCCAAAGCTTATTACAAACTAATGAGTCTTCGTATATTAAAAAATTAATTTGTCAATAATGTGTTTAACAATGAAATCTCACGAAGACCGGAAGTTTGGTGCGTGCAATAAAAATAACGTCACGTGGATTGAGTTTCTGTCTAGTAAGGGTTGTTCTTCGCTGTATACGGCCCCTTAATTTAGCAAACTGTTCCTGCTGAAACACGTGTGCATCATTTTCATTAAGTTAAAATAGGTACTTTCATCTAGTTTTCATCGTAGTCCTGTAATGTTTGGTTGAAATTGGTTGAAAAAATGTAGGAAATTCGATCCAATAAACGTAATACACACAAACCTGGGTTTTATAATAAGTAAGATTCACATTTTGCCTCTAGAAAACTAAAAACTTTTCAGTCATTTACACTGGCCAATTTTACTTTTAAATGAAACAATGTTTGCTTTCAGAAAATACCTAGTTTCATGGGATTCAGATAAACTTTCCCTGGTATTTTTCCAGATAAGTAATTTTTTTTACGTAAAAATATAAAAATCCATTTATTTATTTTTTTTTCCGAGAATATAGGCTGTGACAAAATGACTTTTACTATGTTTGATTATTTTTTACTGGGGATAGAATTTTTTTTATAATAGCAAATCTGAATTGACTTTAGAGGGGTCTATATGGGCCCTCAAACAACAGTGCAGCACTTGTATTTTAATTTTTTTAATAGTATTTATAATTTCTCCAGATAATATCAACAAACTTATGGTACATAGTAGTTAACAAAAAAAAATTGTAATGGCGAAAGTTTTTTTACTTTAAATATTACAAGTTACTACTTAAGTAGGTCCGCTTAAAAAAAAAATAATATGTCCATTCTGTGCTTCCGTATAGAACTTGAATCTCACGTCAGTTGTCAATAATTTATAGATGTCATCACTTGGCACTCTGTCAATCAACGGCAACGTGAAGATCGGCTCTTTATCTTTAAAAAACATTTTTCTACGAAGAAAGTAAGTAAAAGTTTCTTTCAAAATATTTTAAATAAACTTCAAATTTTCTAAATTTCTTCGAATAAATATTGAAATACATATAATTAATTTTTAAACGAATTTTAAACGAAGAATTTAACTTATTTTAAAATTTTAAAAAATATGGCTGATATAGAGCTTTTTCGTTTTTTTCTGTAAACAAGTTTTTTAACTAAAATTTTGGACATGCTAAGAACGAGTAAAAAATTTCAAAAAATACTCAAAAAAATACTTTAGTGTTTCTTCTCAATAATGAAATATACTTTTATCATGAAAAAATTTTTTTCGTTAATTTTCAGACCGTTCTTGTCATGCTATATTAGATTTTTCAAATAAATAAACGGAGGTACCTATGCTAGCAGAACTTATGCCAAGAAGTGTGTGTGTGTGTGTATATATATATATATATATATATATATATATATATATATATATATATATATACGTGGTAAGTAATCCAAGTGAATCCTAGTAATATAAAATATTAAAAACTGATCCATAAAAGAAAGCTCAATATATTTATTATAGAGAATATATGAATTACAAGCAGATAAAATTCAATACCCCATATGATATATGGCCATTTCGCCCAGAATGGGCTTGTCAACACCAATTTTTTTTTTTTTTTTTTTTTTTTAAACTGGTTTTAAACTATGAATGTATGTTCTAGTCAGGCAGTGTGTTCATTAATAAATAATTTTTAGTGTGTATACATCCAGTCAGAATGTAATTTAAGTGGCTGGACAGGGTCAAAGAATATTAATATTACCAGTTTCTCCTGAAACTATCTCCACAACTTTATCCCTCCAGTATAGCTTCAACTCCAGTCATTCAATATTTGGGTTCAAAATTTCCTTGTTTTATTTCCACACATGTATTTGAACATGGCAATGCTGTTACTATATTTGTTCAGGTTTAATAATATTCTAGGATGGTAAAACTGTTGCTTTTATTGAGAATCTGTAAAACCGATATATGCCATAGAGTGGTCAACAAATCTAACCACTGCCTTATAATATTGTTCATTAAGCAATGTTCATTGAGGGGACAATTTCCTCCCATTTCTTAGTTACAATTAGATGAATCTGTAACTGGTTACTGATTTAAAACTTTTTCATTATACCATTTAATAACCTGCTCCATATTGGGCATACAACCATAATATTTTAAAATTGTTTTATTGAAGATTTTGTGAAATTGATTGTTAATAAAAAAAGTTTATTCTATAGTGTGTGTGTGTATATGTATATATATATATATATATATATATATATATATATATATATATATATATATATATACACACATACTCTCTTATGGGGTTATTCAACTGGTAGTGAGATGCCTGAGTGAGCTTTGTGTACTGTGCAACTATCACATTCATGTTGAGCATGCATTAAGTTTTGATTATATCGGCTGAAACAATTTAAGTGATTAAGTTGACTTAATAAAAAATGGCACTGATGCTAAAAATTCAGCAAGTGATCTATACAAAAGCTATCTGCATTCTGAAAAGGCCTTCAGTAAACAAGCCCTGAAAGTATTGAATGTATACAAGCTGGATTAAAAAATAACCGGCAATCGACAACGTGAGAATAAAAAACCCTGACAATTCCAGAGACTGGAAAGTATCCAGCTATTTTGAATAGCTCGGTTGACTACCACTTTTATATTTTGTGCAGTGTGTCTAATCTAGATAAGGCAGACTTCTTTTTTGTTAATATTAAATAGCTGAATCATTTCTGAAGAAACCTCATGTTACAAAAGGTAAGGACTTCAGAATTACTATTTTTCTTAACACTGACCAAATACAGTTATGGTAAATAACTAATTTCATTAGAAATAAAATGCTTCATAATTCCAGAATTCTTTAAAATAAAAGTGTGAATTATATTTCCAATTAGTTTAGAACATAAACAGAAACATCTACAACACTTGAATGTTAACTAACATGCCATTTATTAAACCAGAAAAGCTCATATTAATCAACACAAAGCCAAATTATTCCTGCCAATTATTAGACAGCTTGTATAAGTAGACAAGAAGTTACTATGAATTGTAAAGAAAAATTACTAAAAAAAAAACTTAAAAAGGTAAAAAGGACTACGTTAAAAAAATCTTTTAGCCTTCCATAATTATTAAACACAAGCTCAATATACTTAATACTGTAAACAGACATATATACTATAATCAAAATACAAATGAAACACACACACACAAATTGAAATTATATTGTTCTTAATTTCAAATGGCATAACAGGAAAAAAGTTTTTTCTAAGTTTCAAAACATAATATATTCTTTTCTCGGATAGGATTAATGATGGTTGAAAATGCTTGACTATATATGTATAGATAGCTTTACACACACTGAAACTAAAGATATGTTACCTTGTCCAAAAAACAAAAGAAAAATCACTATCAAAACAATCTTTGTCCATGATCTTTAATAAAAACCTGTTATCTGTATAACTTAGATTTTTATTAATCACAGTATTCAATTTTTCTGGTACATTATTTAAAACAAAAATTGTTAACTTTTGTACAAACATTTTTCATATAAGGTTCAATAGTATTATTAAAAAAATAAAAAAAAACTGTACATTTATTTGGATTAACAGTTTTCTAAGAGAGTACTGAAAAGTTATTGTACCTATCGACTTCCCAAAATCTGTTTGGTTATTTTGGGAAGTTTTTTTTAGCATTCTCACTTTATTAGTTGAGCAAGTCTCTTGATAGCACCTGGCTGTTCCATCAACAGAATAATCAATCAACTTACCTTAATTTTGTGACCCCAGAGTATCTGGTCACTTTTGATGATAATGAAGTGTGTTTTGTCTTTTTCATGTTCTCTGCTTTTTTTATGTTCTCTGCTTTCTCCTTTAATTTTTGGGATTTGTAATTTTCCCATTTTTGTATATATTCTGGCAGGGAAAAAAAAAAAAAAAAAAAAATTTAATGTACATTCTAGTGGCATATAACATCCACTGCTGAAACAAACTTGAATTTTTTTTATTATTTATTATTACATTGTCAAGACAATACCTTATGTTTTGGGCCTGTGAGAAAATGTGCATGGCCTGTGATGACCAACTTATCCTGAAGTAGTACTACACATTCATAAAATGTTACTTTATATTTCTGCTTTGCCATATGCTTTAGCTGTGCATCTTGCCAAGATGATTTGCTATTTTTTTGATCTTTTCTGATTTTCAATTTTGCTCGATTTGAATTGATTTTTTGATGAGTGACCATGGGCCAGAGTGGTCTGAAGTGTTAGTTGTCGAGGATGAGGGGTGAAGCAACAATCTGTTTGTGGTATGAAGGAATCGCTGGGAGGACCCAGAGTCCTGACATTTGGGGGTGGGGGTGACACTGAAGAAGTTGAAGGATTGGCTAACGTCAATCGAAAAGGGATGGTGCATATATGAACTGTCTGATAAGGAAACAATATATGTAGCATTTAATGCTGTGGTGGGTACAGTTTCAGATTTCATAGGGGATTGCTTGGTGGGAGGTCCCCAGTTGACCTGGGGTGAGCTGAAGGAGATACTTATATAAAGGACTATGCTGATGAGGGGACAGCAATTGAGGCAATGAGAAGCATCATGAAATTAATGCAATTGAAGGACGAAACCACCGGGGAGCTAGGGTGGAGAAGCTGATCGCTTTGGCCTTTCTGGAAGAGGTCAAGAGTAATGCAGTGATGCAGGCCCAGCTGGCTGACCTATACGTGGAGGGGTTCCAGAATGATTGTGTACAGTATGATGTTATTAAAGAGGCACCGGTCAAGCTGTCTGTGGCATTGGCCAAGGATAGCCAGGGGGTGTGGGAGAAGGTTAAGAGGAAAAAGGCACAAGAGCAGAGTCAGGAGGTAGACAGGCAGATGGTGGGAAAGAGGAGGCCCCATGTAGAGTAGGAAAATTAAGCAGGAGGATGTTGAAACAGAGGAATGGGAATAGGTTCCCGGAAAAAAGGCTTGGTTGCTCCGACATGGGTTCTATGAGCCCACATCCACAAGGTATGGGTTAATCTGTTGAAGCTGTGGCCATGAGGGTCGCAGGACAGTCAGCTGCCCAATGAAGTGGGGACTGGATTTTGAAGATGACGACTGCACAAGTTGTGATCGTAGGGGACATAAAACTAAATGGTGTAGGACTAAAAAAGGTGCTCCACCAATACAGGTTAAGAAGGCTGACCTTGGAAAACAGAACCAGGAAAACGCCAGTGAGCCACCCCAGAAGCGAGAGGGAGGGTGGCCCATGTGAGAAAGAAAAGAATGAGATGCTAGGTATGTAACAGAGTTTACTATTTTGCTGCCAACTGCACTTTGAAAGAAGGTGCTAGTTCTGTAACAAGCCAGGACACCTGAAGAGAAACTGCCTGAAAAGAAGATCCTGGTTCTGTAATGAACCAGGACACCTGAAGAGAAGTTGCCCTTACAAAAGAAAGATGTGATGTTAGGCATGTGACCAAGGTTGCCATTTTGCTACCAACTGTCCCTATAGAAATAGACAGAATAAACCTCAGGAGAGCTGCCTGAGTATGTACCACGGCATAGAAAACAGCTGTGGACCCCGCATTGCAGTGATGATGAAGAGCCATTGTTGTCAGAATCTATGTCTGAATGCAGAGAGGGACATTGTCCCAGAGGGAGGTAGGCAAGGCATTTTCCTTGCTGACCCAAGAAGAACTTTCCCTAAAAGCTGTTGTAAAAAGAATGTCAATGAGGGCCTTGATAGACACAGGGGTGATGGTGTCCTTAATAGGGAGCTGTACAAAAGCCTGAAGCTGCAGGATGGGTTAAGGAGACCCGATATATAGATCAGGTGGACAGGAAGCCAATGACAGTGAAGGTAGGAAGGACAACCAGTGTCCACAAATTCTATGTGGTCCTGAATTTCTGTAGGGAGATGTCCCTGGGTGAAGATTGGTTGCATGAACAGGGGGCAAAAGTAAAGTTCAACCCAAGGCAAGGCCATGGTTCAACCCCTGTGTTAACTATCAGTGGTGTAGAGGTGCCATTAGGGAGTACCCTAGATAGGCCAATGTCAGTTGATGAGGACATAAAATTACCACCAAGGACAGCTGAAACAGCTAAGTAAGATGGAGTTAATGGAAGGGTTTTGGCTTGAAACTTCCCAAAAATGGAGAGTGATTGAGAAACAAAAGAATGGAATGCCTCTCTCCCGGCTCCAAAAGCAGTTGAGAGAAATTGTTGTCTGCTGCTGGAGGGAAAACAAGAAACATGAAATAGTGAATAGCTCTATGAAGAATCTCTTATAGTGAGAGGAAGGGGGTAATAGACACCATTAGAGAATGATATTAAAGCCTGAAGCTAGAAAAAAAAAGAAAGTAACAGGTTATAGAGAGAATTTTATTGCTGGGAGTTTAAAATAATTTGTTTTTTGATGAGGAAAGGTAAATTGAAGGCAGATTTTAGAAGCTGTCTGTTGAAGTAAAAACTTTTTCTGGAGCATTTAAAAAGGAAAGAAGGCTGTAGTAATTTATTTTTCTTTCATTGCTCGACCAAAGGGACCGATCAAAGAATTACTTTATTGCATTATAAAATATAGACTATTGGCTGATTATTGGATAAATATGAACTTAATGTCACTGGTGAGATCGATTTTGGGGTGTGGACCACTCCGTTGCTGGGCATGGGGATGATGTAGTGTTAGCCTGTAATGTCACCATGAGGTGAGGCATTTTTGAAATACAAGGAAATATCTGACTGATATTTTGGATCTAAATATAAAGAATATTTTAGTTAATAGTGGTTTATTACTAATGAAGTTGATTGTTTGGCTTTGACGAATGAGCCAGGAAATTTAAATTGACCAAGTGACATGGAAAGGAATTACAGTGCACATTCAAGGGAAGATTGTCCAGAATCATATTGATAGTTAAAGGTGATAATTGAAACTTAAAAGTAAAGAGGATGGGATGGGTGAATTCACTGTCAATGCATAACGACGGCAATCTCATTCATAAGCCATCCAATAGAATAATAGTGTGGAGTTGGTTGAAGAGGATGGAGATGTGGAATGCATGTCACAGAGAGTGAAAGAATTTACTTGTTGATGCTGCCAGCTGGTCAGCAGTGGTATTGATGAGGCATAACCTTTGGGTTAAAAGTGCTGCACACCGGTCTGGACCAATCAGCCTGCTGAAGGCTGATTAAGAGAAGGAAAGGTTAAAGATGGGAAACTAAAGAGGAGGTAGTGATGAGATATGAAACTGAGGCAGGGTATGTAGCTTTGAATTCTGCTAGGACAACATTTATGATGCCGATAGCAGAAGAAGCAGGGAAAAGTAGGGATGATGTCTTGGGAACATTTACTTCACTAAGTCCTATTTATGTGACAGGCTATGTATACTTGAACTGTTTAAAGACAACAGAGAAGGGATTAAAAAAAAAGAATTGCCAAGTAGAGATACTGACAAACACTGTGTTGTCACAAACTATCAGTATAGCTGATGGACTTTGGGCAGTGACCGCACAAAAACTTATTAATCTGTCTAGTGTATGTTGGGGAGAACTTACTAAGATACTGGGAATGAAACCACCATTGTCTTTGATAGAGCTACCCCCTGGGGTGTTCAGCATTTGGGATATTCCCCTATGACCAGACCAAAGAGAAATACAAAGAAAAGGACTCAATTATAGGCATAGTTGTCATGAGCTTAGGTAATTGCACAAAATTATGGGAACCGATAATGAACATGTACTCTAAGGTTATGCTAGAAAACATGCCATAGTTATTAAAGCTGATAAAAAGGATTATACGATTACATTATGACTCAGAGCAAATTTTTGACAAGAACAAATTGACAATTTAAATTCTCCAAAGAGCCCTGCTTTTAGCTAATATAAATAGGAAAAGAAAAAAAAAAAAACAAACAAACAAACAAACACCATTCATTTGTAAGTCAATCTGTTTTTAATGAAAAAAAAAAAAAAAAAAAAAACATTAAAAATCCCTATACTAATCTTTGGCCCACCCACTGGCACAAGACTTAACAGAAATTTCAAATGTAGTAGAAATGATTAAAAAATTTAATAGAATCATAAAAAAAAAAAAAAAAAAAAAAATAAATAAATAAATAAAAATAATACAAACATTTTGACAATAAAACTTTTTTTTTTTTTTTAAAATCATCATGTATGCTTTTTTCTTTTAAGAAAATTTTTTGGAGGTATCTAATTTAGATCAAAAGCATCATCTAAAAATATGATTTTTTTTTTTTTTTTTTTTTTTTTAAGAGACAGGGGTCAGGGAACATATGTAATATAAAAATTTACTATTTTTTAGTACTATCGATTAAAATTAGCATTTGTTAAAAGTGTAATAAATAAATGTTTTTAATAGTTTAGGGGGTTTTTTTTTTCCCAAGTTTTGAATTTGGGAAAAAAATGTATATTTTATGGTATTTACTATCAGACATGCAGTGTCATTCCTTTGTAAATTTTGGAATTAAGGACTATGGGGACACCTTTTTGCATAAAAGGAGACTGACCCACTGACAGGATCAGAAAGCATTCAGACTTCAAGGCAACAGTAAATCTCAACTAGAAGGCAGTTGCAAGTCACAACAGGGTAATACATTTCAGTTGGTTCCAGAGAAGAATTTCAATGATACCAAAACTCAAATTGAACTTTCAGTAAAAGAAAAAAAAATGTTCTTGACACCAACCTGTTCAAACCACAAAATCCCTTTGTGCTGAGACATTCCTATTCCATTGTACAAATTAGGTAAGTGCACTTTCGTATTTTCTGCCTTGTCTAATTTTTGCTCCACTGCAATTAGATCTCTTTATGATTCACACTATATGTTGCCTAGATATGAATGTTAAGAAAGCAAAACAAAATAAAATAATTGTTTTCTGCTCAGGGGCTCTGAGCATCACACCTGGTCCACAAAACAAATCCTTTGCAACTAAATGCTTGTTATAACATTTTCCAAAAACTTTTCCCTTTTTTATCATTTTCAAAAGGTTTAATTTTTTTTTCTCTCTTTTGTGAATTTGATTGGTACCTAGTCTTAATTTTGTATAAGGTGCACAAAAGGAATGTTTTTGCACAACACTCTTGCATGTAAATTTTGTATTTGCTTCCCCCCCCTCCTTTTTATGTACTGTAATATATGTAGGTCCTTTTAAGTTTCGTGTAGTGGTTGAGGCATGTTTGTTTTGTACCGTATTCAACTTTAAGGATAATAGAGGCATGTGTTCTCTTTTCCCATTAACAACTAACTAAAGTTTTGTGCCAAACACAAAAAGTTAGGTTTTTGTAGAGAGTTAAAATTTGTATATTAATGAAAGGAACCCTAAAGCCCAGGTGCTTAAGACCTAAATCCAGCTATCTTGATGATACCGAAAGCTGTCTGGTATTGTCTGTGAATTAAAATATTGTAAAAACAAAGTATTTTTGTGGATGAATATGAAGTTTTTTTGTTTCCTTCAATAACTTTTTTTTTTTTTTTTTTTTTTTTAAATATATTAAGGCAAATTAGAGCTATGTAAAAAAATAAAAAATAAAATAAAAAAAACTTTTGGGTATTTTTTTCTTTTCAAGCGAACGAGGGAAAAAAAGATTAATAAAGCATGAAATAAATAAACGGAAAATAAGTTTGTCAATTATTTCAAAATTACTTGTTTATTTTATTTTATTTTTTTTAGTCATACTGACCTCAGGTTCACTCAAGGTAGGGGGTTTTAGAGTAAGAAGTACAGCTTATGTGAACATGTGTGGAAGGTAATGGTTAACTCTAGACTTGAACAGATTAAGATTGTACTGATCAGGGTAGCAGCCTATTGGGAATTGGTTCCACAAGATACCAGTTAGTGAGAAGAAACTGCTCGAGTGGAATTTACATTTGCTACAATGTGCATGGTGGGTAGGTTTTAGCTGTGAAGGTTAGGACTGGTGAAACTAAGGAGTGTAGTTCATTTGAATACTCAGCAATGAAATAGCAATACAGCAGTGAAAGGCTTGTGATGCTCATCTGTGAGATTTGCTTTTCATTCCTCATGTGTTGATTCATAGACTCTTGAACTTGACAAATCCCCGTCGTTGAAATGTAGGTGCTTTTTACTGTGAAGTCTGAATGCTTTCTAATCCTGTCAGGATCCTTTTATGTGAAAAGAGGAGGTGCCAAAGTCTTTAATTTGGGAATTTACAAGGTGATGAGACCATGTCTTCGATAGAATAAAAAAAAAAAAACATATTTGCCGACCTAATTCAAAAAGTGGATCAGCAACAATTGTTAAATTTTTTTTTTACGGAGTAAACTTTCTCTCATTGCAGTTTGGAGAAGGATAAAGGTAATAAAATAATTACTGAAACCTGTACCTTCAAAGCTCGTTGATCAAGGAATGGAGTGAGTTCAAATGGAGGTGAAGGAAAGAGAAAGAAAAACAGAAGTGTTTTTTTTCTACTACAATAAATTGTTTTGATAAACGTAATTTTTTTTAGCCAATGGCTACTCAAGCTGGTTGAAAATTGAAATTCTTGTGTTGACCACTAAAATTTTGTGTGGCTTTTAGCTACCAAAAAAAAGAAAAATCCCTGCAATATACAAAGCGGAGTGGGAAACTTGATGCCTTCCAAAACATCTGAAAACCTGACAGTGTGTTGACCCAAAAGAGCAGCTGTGAAAGCTACTCCTCAACAAAGTCCTGACAACCAAATTAATTTTTTCATGACAAAATTGTCTTATTTTAACACTGACTATTGTAACAAAATAGTTGTTTCCACGACAGAACAAGTACTGTTTTCAAAACAATGTTGAAATCTCTGAATGTACAAATGAATTCTGTCATGAACAACTTGAATCAAATCACAAGAAGACCTATAAGAACATTCATATTTTCAACTGCATTTTTTTATGTTGATTGATTTCAAATTTGATTTTTTTTTTTTTTAACAATTACCATTGGGCCTTATTTTAGAAGTTACTTGTCCAGAAATTTATTAATCCCTTTTCCAGGAGCATAAACCACCAGATTTGTGCATTTAATATTTAGTTAAATTTTATTTTTTGATTTTAATAAGTTTTTTGGTTTTATCTCACTCACTGAGTAGTTTTTTTTTTTTTTTTTTACAGTGATACTTGTCGCTTATTCTCCACTCCAGTGTCACCAATCTCGTTTTTTCTTTTTTTTAACCGAACCCACAAAAAATTAGCTTTTTTTTTTTTCCTATTCTTTCATATAATTCACTAAATAATTTTTTTGGCGGTTCTTTAACCGCTAATTCTAAAAAAAGATTTTAACAACTCACACAACACAATTTTCTTAAAAATTTTATTTAAAGCCAGACGGTTTGTTTTTAAAAATTTTATTAAACCGTCTGGCTTTAAAAATACACCTTTCTCGAAAGTACGTGTAAAAAAAAAATCCCCCGCCTACAGAAAAACATCCTAAACGATTAAAACATCTATGCTACATTTTTTAAATAATTAAATCGCTAAAAACAAAGAGTAGTATAGCCTTATTTGAACTTGATGTAAACATAGGCACCTTCACGACATCGCTAACAGAGCATAAACAAAATTTTATCGTCTAAAAATGTTTAAGAGGAAAGACCAAAATGTATCTTTTATTATTTTTTTTTTAATTTTTGAATCTTTTTTTTTTTTTTTTTTTTTTTTTAGAACATTCTAACTTTTGCAAATTTTAAACGCATTTTTTTTTTGCAGTGAAACCAACGTAAATTTTGAAAATGTTGCAAACAAAAAAAAAAAACAAAAAAAAACGGTCGAATTTTCATGAAACTTTCAGGATTTATTCACAAATGATTGAAATTACTTTAAATATTTTTTTTATTTTGAAAGTCATGTTAATTTTCTTTTTCTTTACTCTACATGTTACCCCACCCTTAACTAATTTTAGAAGTTTTGAAATTAAGTGCTTCTTTTGTTAGTGAATAACAGTGTAACCCGGATATAAGAGAGATTTTCTCTGGTCCCATTTAGAGCCTGTGTTAATGTATATAATATAAGAGAAACCCGGATATAAGAGACTTCTTCTCCGGTCCCGACAACTCTCTTATATCCGGGTTACACTGAAAATTCAGAAGTCTTTGAAGAAATCAGTTTCTTTCTGTAAGAAAATCGAACGATCAGCTCTGAATTTTAATATGAAAAACTCAATAAAACAAAGAAATTATTTCATTTCAAAAGCTTTTAAAGAACAATATTGTCTGAAAGCACAATTTTTTTGGTAAAAATTATATTTTTACAACAATTATTTTGTTATTTATATTTTTTTAGACACATTTTTTACATTAAAGTTCTTATTAATTTTAGAATTAATGAAAAAGCTGTTTACTTTAGGCAATGGTGTTATTAAGTAGTAAGTTAAGTTAAAAGTAGTTTTGATTTCAAATTTTTCTCGGGTAAAAAAAATTTTCATTTTTTTAAAAATTATTACTGTGAGTTAGCATCAGAAAATGAATAAAAAATAACTTCAGTCGGGATTACAAACAATAAAACCAAAAATTTTCTAAATTACAAAATCTTCAATTCAAAAATAAATATTAAAACTTAAAAGGAGGAAAAACAATTATTTTTTGTGTGTGCAGACGCCTTGTCAGTGTTTCCTGACGCTAAATATATATAAGTAAGGAACGATCTACCGTGAGATTATCGCTGAAAAGTGAGAGATAAATACAATTATTCTAAAACGCATTAAAACTACAATTACAAATTATTTAAAAAAAAAAATATGAACAAACCTTTTCTTTTATTCTCCACATCCATCTTGGCGATTTGTACGTTATTTGATTTTGGCGGAAGTTCTGAACTTTCAAATCTGGTTGGTTGTTTTTCAAGTAACCTAGTTATCTCCCCTTACATTTAAAGAATAGTTAAACCGTGAAAAATAACGGCTTTTTATTTAAAATCGCAATTAATACGGGACTTTGGAGAAGTAAAAACATAAAATAATTATAAATTAAATAACTTTCATTTTATTCAGATATATTAAATATTACTTGGGTTCGTTAACATAATGTAATTGTTAGCTTATAAAAATTTATAATAAAAAAATGTAAAAGTTTATAAAAATAATTAAAGGCTGAATATTAAAAAAAAATAATGATACAAGGGACTAGGTTTGTCTATTGCACTTTGTTTTGAGAAAGTATTTAAAAAATATTATAAAATTAAAGCCAGATGGTTAGTCAATAAAAAATATGGTTTGAATATAAATTTGATGCATAAAACTTTGTATATGTGAGACTAAGATCTAAAGTTTAACCACTTTTTTAGAAGTCAATCATTTTTATTTGTTCTTTCATCATGAGAAACACCAGCTTAGTGGCAAAAGTACTAATGATTTATTTTTTTTAAGCATGCAAACAAGTACATACACATATATCTTTCAATTTTTGATCTGATGAAACCTAGAAAGGTGAAACGTAATCAAATCCAGTTTCAATTAAACAGTTTTCCATTTGACATATTTTTTCAATGCTTATATATATATATATATATATATATATATATATATATATATATATATTGTTGGTCTTCTAATACTGTACAACAACGGCACACCAAAATTGATATTAAGGACATCGGACTGTATAGAGATGACGGGCTCATGGTGGTGAGGAGTTCTACTAGTTTTAAGATTGAAAAATCAGAAAAATTATATTTAGTGAATTTAAAAAACTAAACTTAAAGATAATTGGCTCTTCTAATTTGAAAAGGGTTAACTTTCTCGACGTAACTCTAGACTTACCAGGCAACACATACCAACCTTATAGTAAAGTAGTAAACCAAATGCTAACCCTTTATATATACACCCGAAGTCAAACCATCCTCCATCCATAATTAAAGATATACCCTCATCAATAGAAAATAGAATTAGCAATAACTCCGCTAACAAGGAAATATTCCAACAACACAATGTCTTCTATAACACTGCCCTAAAAAATAGTGGTTATAAAAATGCTAACATTAACTATAGAGAAAATGGCAATGGGGGAATAAAAACAGGAAAAGAAAAATCATTTGGTACACCCCTCCGTTCAACCAAATGGTTAGTATTAAACTCGTACAGAAATTCTTAGCTCTAATTGATAAACACTTCCTCACCAATAGTAAGCTTAGTAATATATTCAATAAGAACACCCTAAAATTGAGTTACAGCTGCTCTGAAAATCTTGAACGTATAATAAAAAACACAATAATAAGATCTTGAACAAACCCCCATGCCTAAACAGTATTAATAAAAACCCTGCACTTAAATCAGACAATAAAAGGGAAAAATTATGTAACTGTAGAAACCTAGAAGACTGCCCATTAGAAAATAAATGCTGCATTAAATCTGTGGTATACCAATGTACTATATCATCCACTGAGACCCCTAGCACTAATATGATATACATTGGGTCCACGAAGAATGATTTTAAAGATAGATGGAGGCAGCATAAGTGCTCTTTCAATAATATAAACAAAAGAAATCAGACTTCCCTATCTAAATATTTTTGGCATCTGAAGGAAACAAATAGGACACCTAAAGTTAAATGGAAAATTATAAACAAGGCTAGAACATGTAAAACTTGGGATGACCCATGCCCTTTGTGCCTCCATGAAAAATTGCACATTATTAAGCTTATAAATAATAATAATCTATTAAACAATAGACACGAGTTAACGTTTTTTTGTAGACATCATCAGATTTTTGGTTTGAATTATTAGCTAAAAAAAGCATAAAATATAATAACTTGTTTAATCCATAGCCCAATCATCAGATTCATGGTTTGAATAATTAACTAAAAACATGCATACAATATAACACCCTTCATAATCCATAGCCCAAATAAATAGTTTAAATACCCTACAAAAAAGATAACCCTTTATGAAGTCGTCAAAAAACAAACGTTACGACAGTTTTTTATATGCACAAATCCCTTTCATAAAAAAATTAAAAAAAAAAAAAAAACTCCATAGACATGCAAACTAGACGAGGGTTAATACATCTTCCGTTTAAAATATAGACACCCCTACCTTTCCCTGACTTGACATCTATGAAAGTAACTCTATACTGATACTTATTATTAACACCCAACACCCGCCTACCCAATTTAAACAATTCGCCCTAGCTGTTACCATGGAAATTTTGATTTAAATTTTTAAAACACGTAAATTTCAGATATACGTTATTCCAAAAAAAATTTCGCTTGAAGATGGAACAGAGCTTATTTTAACCCAATTTAATTTAAATAATTATATTGAAGTTTCCGGCTCTTGTTTTGAAACATGAGACTTCTTATGTAGCGTTTTGGAATCTGTGGGGTTCAGCGTACCCGGATTAAAGAATTTATTACGAGATACCCTGCCCACAAAATACAACACAAATTTCAAGAAGAAACAACACGATGAGGAACGTTTATAAAAAAAATAGAACATTGTATATTTATTATCTTGTGAATAGGGTAAAAAAGATTACTGTTTTAGTTCGTTTAAGCAAAAATGTGATTTTGATAAAAATGTCTGTGTTCGCTGTCTTTTAACAGAGTAGCAGAACAATGTCTGTTTCTTTTGTTTTGTATAGTTGTAAAATGAAAAAGGGGCGAGCAATTTAAGGTAAAAAAAGAGTGTGAACGTGGAATAAAGATGAAAGGAAAATGTACTTATGAATTGTTTTGAAGCCAGTTGTAAATTTGTTGTTGTTGTTGTTGTTGTTCCTTCCTACTCCACTTTTCGGGTTGAGTCAGTGATGAAATTTACTTTCAATCTTCTGTGATGTTTTGCGCCCTTCTCTGACTGACTGACTGGCGACTGACTTGAAAACTACGTATTTATTGTTGACTTTTTTTTTTCACACTGGCTCGTTATCTTTTTTTTGGTTTAGCAAATCGCCTCCTTTCATTGGTCAGAAAATTAATTTCACACCTTATTGTGAAATCTGTTTTTGGTCGTTCTGATCCGATTTTGCGGGTGTGCAAATCTACTTTGTGTTTTTTTAGTCATTTGTTGGAATATATGATTTGTATCCTATAAACCCCCTCCAGAGTGATAAATATTGAAAATATTTTTCAATATCTAATATATGTTTTAAAATGAGTAGGCCAGTGTACGTGTCTACCCGATCTTGTGGTAATGTTTTTAGGTGTGTTTGGAGGTGTAGAAAATGTTTCACTTACGTTGGTATTTGTCGTGGCTTTAGAATGTTCCGACGTACTTTCCTTTGTAGGTAAATCCAAGTACGCTGGTTTTAGCCTGTCTATAGAGACGGTGTCTTGCTTGCCTTTTGCTACAATTGTGAAATATTTGGGCTTTCTGTTGACTACTTGGAAAGGTCCCGTATAAGTAGGGCAAAGAGGCCTTTTTACTGTGTCGTTTCGTACGAAAACATATTCACAATTGTGGAGGTCTTTTGGAGTGTAAAGGTCTTTTGTTTGTGTTCTAGTGGGTGTGAAAACTAGTTCATTCATTCTTTGCTTAAATCTTTGTACAAAAGAGGTAGTTGGTTGTAGTTGACTGGATTTATCACAAAACTGTCCTGGTAACGTCAAGGACGTTCCAAAAACCATTTCGGATGCTGTACATCCTAAATCTTCTTTGATTACATTTCGAATGGATAGTAATATTAGCGGTAGATTTTCTAACCACGTCTTAGAATCATTATTTGCAGTTAATGCTGTCTTAAGTTGCCCGTGGAAACGTTCAATTAAACCATTGGCACATGGGTGATAAGCCGTTGTTGTTATATGCTTAACTCCCAATAGTTTTGTGAACTCATCAAAGAGCGTAGATTGGAACTGAGAACCTCGGTCTGTAAGTTATTACTGAGGGACAACCAAAAACGGCAATCCACTCATGTAATATACTTTTAGAGATCGTTTCTGCAGATATATCCCTTAGAGGAACAACGACAGGCCGTCTTGTGAATCGGTCGATAATAGTGAGTAGGTAACTATGTCCGTTTACTTCTGGTAAGGGACCCACTATGTCCATGTGAAGATTCGTGAATCTACCATCTGGTTTTAGAAAATGCCCAGGAGGGGACTTAGTATGTCTGTTTACTTTGCTTTTTTGGCACTTTAAACAAGTTTGAGTCCAGCGTTTTATGTCAGTATGCATGTTTGGCCAGACAAAACGACTGCTAATCAACTTGTCAGTTGCTCGGTGTCCGGGATGTGAGAGATTGTGAAAATGCAGAAATATCTTTTTTCTCAATGAAGGTGGAATATATGGTCTTGAATAACCAGTCCCAACGTCACAGAGTAGTGTTTTTGTTCCAAATGGGACGGGGTGTTCCTTCAATTGTAAAGAAGTGTCCTCTTCTATTTTGTATAATGTGCTATCTTCCTTTTGTTCATCTGCAATGAGGTCGAAGGTAAGGGTTTCAGAATCGATGGATTGTATCGTGGAGCGCGAGAGTGTATCTGTCACGATATTGCCTGAACCTTTAATATAGCGGATATCCGATGTAAATTGGGATATGTAGTCCAGTTGTCGGGTATCTCTGGGTGTGTATTTATCTGTGTTCACATGTAAAGCGTAAGTGAGGGGTTTGTGGTCTGTGAAAACAGTAAAGTTTCGTCCCTCGAGCAGATGTCGAAAATGCCTTATTGCTAAGTAAATAGCTAGTAACTCTCTCGAGAAGGTACTGTACTTCTGCCGTGCTTTGTTTAATTTGAACCATTTCTGAACCATTTAGCTTCTGATGTAGAACTGCTCTAATTGAATCTCCTGAGGCGTCAGTTGTCAATGTAAGTGTTGAGTTAGCATCGTCACTGATGTAA